TAAGTAATTTGTTGATTTGACCATAACAGGTGCATAGACCCTTCAATAAAATGATGCGTACAATTTTGACAAAAAAATATTCTGTAAGGACATGTCGCGACAAACATTTTGGTTAAATTGTTTTGTCGAAACCTGTATCTCTTTCTGGGAAGAAGCGATATGAACTGAATGTAAAAAATCACAACATGGCCTTGACCTTTGACCTTGACCTAATTTTCTTTATTTTGGACCAAGGACCTCAAATCAACAGACCCTAGGTCTCTATCACTTATGGTTTACCAGTTGCAAATGCATATCACTTATATCAAATGCATAAGGGGAAATAACTCTCATATGGAGTCTCCGGCTCCAGTCAAAATAATTCTTCAGATCCTGAGGATATAACGAGCAAATTGGTGAATAATGTTTGTCGTAATCTTTTACGGTTGCGAAAGAGGTGCGCCCACATGAAAAAACAGCGTTTTGGGAGATAACTCTTACAATAAAAAGTTTTCGGTTAAACAGGGTCAGTTTCAAAGTCGCAACAACTGTTTGAAAAGAGGGACGAAAGATACCAGAGGGACAGTCAAACTCATAGATTGAAAACAAACTGACAACGCCATGGCCAAAAATAAAAAGACAAACAGACAAATAATAGTACAGATGACACAACATAGAAAAATAAAAACTAAGCAACACGAACCCCACCAAAAACTTGGGGTGATCTCAGGTGCTACGGAAGGGAAACTATATGCAAAAAATCTAAGCGACATCTTGCGAAACCACAAAGCACCGTAAGAAAAAAATGTGGCGGAAGAAGAAAAAAAAAACATAATAATAATAATAATAATCAGATGAAAACCAATATTCTGCGGAAAGACCTAAATATAAGAAACTCGAAGAAATGTGTTTAATCATTAGATTGTTTTCTTCTTCTCTTAGTAAATTCCTCCTTTCTCGGAGCACCCGTGTCACACAGAGACAGAACTCGCACCACTCGAAAAAAATACTACAAACTCGCACCAATGAAAAAAAGTTTTAAATCATCAGAGATTTCTAGATTGTCTTCTCTTAGTTATTTCCTCCGTTCTTGGAGCACCCGTATCACACAGAGACAGAACTTGATTCGCACCTTTCGAAAAAAAAAAGAAATACTACAAACTAGCACCACTGAGAAATGTTTTAATCATCAGTGTTCCAGGTTGTCTTCTTCTTCTCTTAGTTATTTCCTCCGTTCTAGGAGCACCTTTGTAAAACCGAGACAGAAGCTACTAATTGCACATTCAAACTCCTATTGAAGAAGAACTGACAAACTAATTAAATCTATCAACATACTGCACCAGTGCATAAAAACAGTTTGAGAAACACGAACCCAAGCTGTGTATCACCATAAACATTTCAAGTAGTCTTCTTTTTTCTAGTTATCTTTTTAAACTTCAGGTCTTTCGTCAATTATAAGTTTAAGATGACTGCGATGGTTGCTATGTAGGGAAATAGACGAAATAAGTGTAACAAAAATACCGAACTCAAAGGTAAATTCACAAAGGGCAAGCCCTTAAAAACTGAGAAATTCAAACGCTACACTCTATCAACCAACGGAACGAATGGAAAACAACTGTCATATTCATGACTTAGTACAGGTATTTTCCGAAGAAAATGGTGTATGTTAGAATAAAAGAGTTTAAACGGTTACCGTATTTTTGCAAAAAACATGTGTAAATTAACTATAATAATTGTATTTCGTCTGCCTTAGTGTTTTTTAGTTCCTCAATATCATCAATAAAAGGAACGATTTGACTATTTAGGAAACAGGATTTTATCACCATTTCATACTTATAAGCCTTAGTCTTGATCCCATATTACCTTGTATACTACAAAATGATTGTCTAGAAATACAAAAAAATTATTTAAATTGGTCAACTAATCTTTATTAATAGACGTTTTTGCTAATGAATAATATGTAAATGATTAAGTTTTGAGATAACAAATTAATAAAGAATCTCTTGAGTTCAATTTTATATGACGGTCATCACTTTTCAGTTAAAATGATGATTTACAAATGTAAGACATCATTGAAAGAAAGACATTATTTTGCATTCAGAAAATAGTAAATGTCACAAAATGCGATCTTAATCGTTTCTTGTCACAGATCTAAATGCCATCAACGACATTATCGGAAAGGCTACAAATGATCATTATTGTTGTCTGTCAAATTTAATTACGGTTTAATCGTGCCCTGATGTCTTGGTGCATACTATACAGTACTGAAAGTCATTTTGTGTCATTCGAATAAATAATTATTATCCGATATAAAAATAAGAACATATGGTTTGATTGCCAATGAGACAACTCTCCACCTCGGGGAGGGGGTCCTGGGCACTTAAATCGATTTTTTGTTTCTAAAAGTATAAAATATTTGTCAAATCCATTTTTCTCCATATCCATATTTGTGAAAAAAATATAGGATACAATATGTATTTGTGTTATCAAAATATATGAAAAGGGTTGGGTACTCAGTCTCTGTCTGTCAGCTGCTCATCTCTGGTCGAAGTTCCCCCGAGCTCTCCACAAACTAAATGACCGAATTTTGAAATAAAATATAAGAAGATAACTCTAACAAAATATTTTTCAAAAATTGAAAGTAAAAATGAGGTCATATTGTTTGTGTAGTAATAAACAAATCCCAGATTTGTTTTTACTATAATACAATATGTACAAACATTACGGTACATTCCTTTATAAAATCAAATTATCTGAGTTGTATCCCCTTATACCTTATAAGACTAAGCTTTGAAATAATGAATAAATGCAAAATATTCGTTTTAATAATATAAGTCAGATAATGTTCATTTAAACCAAAAGTTTCACACAACAAAAGAATTGCACGCCTGCTTCGATATACGCTTATGTCTTTAAAACTAGGCCAATCCTTTTCTGTTATTTTACGATCCTAGAAGGCGAAAGACCTCAAAATTACCATAGGAAATACTTTAGTGAGACGAATGTTACTGTTTTGTATAAAAACACAAAACGGTGTTAAAACAATGATTGAATTTGCAACCTAAACTCAATGACCACGCTGATATTTCAGAATTAAATCGGGCAAACTTTTAGTCAGGTTAACACGTATACAATGTAAAATGAGCAACACGAAGCTCACAAAAACCGGAGTAACCAAAGGGGCTCCAGAAGCGTAAGCAGATCCCGCCGAGTTCACTAATAGTACCTGTCGTGTTGCTAATTCCTAAATACTGCATAATGCACATATAATACCAATTTCAATGCCAACAATAGGTGTTGATGTAATAACCTTCACTACATATGCTTGAGACCCAAAACGTGTGAGGCAAACTGCATAAAAAGGTTTTCATTTTTTATTTTTTTATTTTCGTTTCTTGTGTATAATATTGAGTTTAGTATGACGTCCATTATCACTGAACTAGTATACATATTTGTTTAGGGGCCAGCTGAAGAACGCCTCCGGGTGCGGGAGTTTCTCGCTGCATTGAAGACCCATTGGTGGCCTTCGGCTGTTGTCGGCTCTATGGACGGGTTGTTGTCTCTTTGACACATTCCCTATTTCCATTCTCAATTTTATTTCAGTATTACAACCAAATAGAACACTAGGCCACCAAAATCTAGTTAGGTTAGTTTTAACTGAAGTAGTTGCACTCTTAAGTTTACCGATGATTAGGAATTAACAGTCAAAATATACACAAAAACAATATCTCTGACTAACTGATCTGACCACCTTAATGCAATGTCAAGATCTTTTTTAATTTAATCAACGATCGGAAGATAAATGGAGATGTTTGATCTACATTAACGTACGTCTGCTGAGCCGAATTTAGATTCCTATAATGTGAATACGAGACAAAACTGCAGGGGACTAAAGAGCTTTCATTTCAAGAAAAGTGACTTCAAATAAAATTTAGTCAATCTTATTGTCGTTCTATCATGAACATAAGTCAATGACATTTCCCTTATAGACTACTAGTAACTGACCAGAAAACTCGTACCAAAATACAAAAAAAATAATTTTTATTGTATAAATCTTAAATATAAATTGTTAAATAAGATATAGTTTATGTAACAAGATTAAAAGGGCGTTAGGTATACGTCAATGAGACAGCAATCCAACAGCATCATATTTTTTTTTACATGTTTTGTCTGGAAATGGCTACAGCAACAATATATGTGTATCGCTGAAACAAAGTGCTCTTTATTTTAATCAAATTTCTATATGTTTTTTTTCTAATTTGTCTTGTTTTTCAAACAGATTTAATATCTTCTTCAATAAAGTTCTGTTTTGATTCGGAACTCCTTTTTTTTTTCTTTTTTTTTTTTTTTTGGTAAAATGATCTGTGATCCGGATTAATTTTGTTCCACTAAAATTACTGTTACAGACGTATTAGGCAATAATATTAACGATGCATGTACATAATTAAAGAATTGCTTCCATGCAAAAGGTGTTGAATATAGAAAAAAAAATTTTTTTATAAACAAAGGTCTTCCGCATAACTGTATTGTTCGCTTAGATTACGAGACTTTTCCTTTCTTACTAGCTCCTTAAGTGCAAGTGTCAAATAGATTTACTAGCTTCGTTACGGTTTTTACTATATTAAACTAACCATTAATTCTACTCGTTTAATTTCTCTAAATCAAATTTATATGTCTATATTGTGTTTGTCAACAAAATATTGCATATTATAACAATATAAATTTTAAAAGCTGAAACTTATACAATATACATTTAAAAAGGTGAAACCTATACAATATACATTTAAAAAGCTGAAACATATACAATGTTACAATAGTAATCTAAAAAGCTGAAACCTACATTGTATACCGATATACAATATACATTTAAGAAGCTAAAACCTATACAATTATATTATATACATCTAAAAGGTTGAAACCTATACCATTATACAATATACATTTAAAAAGCTGAAACTTATATAATTAGACAATAAATATTTAAAAAGCTGAGACCTATATATCAAGGAATAATTACTCACACAATAGTTTGATAGCTCAATCCAGGTCCAGTAATAAGTGTGAAATAAAATCTCTTTGTTATAGAGTGACTTGAAATATGCTACTGATAATCCAATCATTCAACCTATAAAATCAATCCATGTAATGTTTAACTTATACAGAGCTTTTGTATAGTTGAATATTAATTGTTCTATCAGCTTCATTCTCATCCATTGGAAATGCGTACGTTAAGAGAATTTATGGGGTATGATTGATTCAAATACATTTAAATGAAAGTTGAAAATAATTGTAAACTGTGACCTGTGGAACTGTTTGAAATGATATGCCTAATACCCTAATTATCTTTTACACTGTATCATAGAATAGAGAATGGAAACGGGGAATGTGTTAAAGAGACAACAACCCAACCAAAGAGCAGAAAAAAGCACAAGGCCACCAATGTGTCTTCAACGCAGCGAGAAAATCCCGCAGCCGGAGGAAGGCTTAAGCCGTCCCATAAACTATAATGTATACTATATAGTTCAGCGAAATGGTCGCCACACTAAACTCCAAAACATTCAAATGAACAAAAGTTAAAGAAACACACAAGACTAACAAAGGCTAGAGGTTCCTGACTTGGGACAGGCGCAAAATGTGGCGGGATTAAACATGTTTTGTGAGATCTCAACCCTCCCCCTATACCTCTAGCCAATGTGGAATGAACAAACACACAGCAATACGCACAGTAAAACTCAGTTTAAAAGAAGTTCCAGTCCGATGTTAGAATAGGTAACAGAATGTCATTTTGTGAACAAACCAATCGGAATATATGTACTTAAAATGCAAGGGAAACGAAACCTCTGCATTATACTTTGTAAATACTGGTACTTGGCTTTCAAATTTTGATCTGAGCGTTTGTGATGAAGGTAAATCTAGAACAGCGTATCGTCGCACCAAATTTATAATGTGTTATCTTCTTTTTCAAGGACTGTGTCGATACAGCTGCTTGTGAACTGTTTATCCAAAATGGCGAGGGTGTCATTAGTCCAGAAGTCAGTGCTTCGCCACTGACTTTCACCACTGACATGATTAATAAAGTAAACATTTCTAAAATGTCCTGTTAACTAATTAAGTAATAATAATAAACTAAGGTTCCAACTCCCTCAGGCAAATTTGACCATTGATGGTTTTGCTACTCTTGTATGTCCAGTTTGGTCACGAAGCTCGTTAAGTCTCTGGCTTTCAAGTATATGGATTTGAAATATCCTTTATGAAGGTAAATCAAGAAAGGATTTGGACGCAACAAATATTCAAAGAGTTATTTTCATTTACCAATACTTTGATTTATTTTGTCAAATATAGACAATATCATCTTTAGGCATTTGATAGTATTTTTCTTTCTCACAGGAAAAAAGAACTAGATGATATAAATTAATGGTGAGACTGGCGTGAATGAGAATTAGAGTATAACCTTTGCGTTGTGAATCATTGTTATGTTGTGAATTAGTGTACAGAAACAAACTTAAGGGATCAGGTGAAGCCCGCCTCCGGATGCAGGATTTTCTCGCTGCGTTGAAGACCCATTGGTGGCCTTGGGCTGTTTTCTGCTCTTTGTTCAGGTTGTTGGCTCTTTGACGATCTTCTAGATGGATTTGTTTCCTATTAATTGATTGAATTCATTTCTAATTACAATTCTTCCTCTGTTGCTGTCACCATGAATACTTGTTGACTCTGTGGGTTTGACTGCTCAATTAAGTAGTGTAAGACATTTTGATTGTTTACAAACATAGTTACATGTGTATGTTTATGAATTGTTTATTAAATAAATATTTTTTGCCAAAAAATTTCAATACATTGCCTCCGGGTGCGGGAATTTCTCGCTGCATTGAAGACCTGTTGGTGACCTTCTGCTGTTGTCTGTTCTATGGTCGGGTTGTTGTCTCATTGACACATTCCCCATTTCCATTCTCAATTTTACCTTGAAATTTCAAGTCTCAGTGGTGAAGAATCTTGCTTTTAAGTTTTATTTATACCAAACCACGTATAAAAGTTCCCAATCTCGAACTAAAAGGTTGATCTATTGTTTACGTCCTACTGGTTGCTGTCACTATTTGTATTTTTATAGTTTTTGATAAAATAATAAAATAACGACACAGTTTAAAAAATACTGCTTTAAAATTCATGAACTAAACAAATTCTTTTTTGTTGATAGAGTTACATTTAGTTTTAGTCGGCGTAGTATCAAAGTTACCAATTTAGTCTTCTATGACATTACAGTGTCACTAATTTTCATCATGCATGGAGTAATTTATACACATTAGTAAAATATCAACACATTATCGCAGTAAATTGCAAACAAACTTCAGATTAATCAATCACGGCTTCGAGCGATGGCTGATGTAAACAATGTTATAACGATAACACTGACAATTGTGAAATTACAAGTAGAGTGATTTAAAATGAAAATAAATGAACAAGTCATTATCAGCTTTTGTTGCCACAGTGGAATTCCCGATGTCAATACTTTTAATTTTCATTTTTGTATTATTTTCCTCATTACAATGACAAAACTAATTAAAATTTATACGGAGTCCTGGTTTTCAGACCTTTAAATGTTGGATTGGTATTATCTAAACCCTTTAGTTTTCGATATTGATATATCTGTAGACAATCTTTGCATTTTACATTTGAAAACATTTCTATTATCACAATGATTGTCACCACGAAGCAATAACACATTGAAAACATGTAATTACATGTATTATCATTATACAGTTTTGAGGTCATCGCCTTGCACTACTGATCCAAATGCATTATAAATCAATATAGACTACTACTGCGTTGCATGGTATTTCTCTTCTCGGGGTAGACTTGATCCCAGTACAGATGTGCTTGCTAATATCAATCTGATTAAAATACAGATCATATGTTCAAGCTGTTCTTACAAGGATCTGACAACACTCCGTTTAATTTCTGTTCTGATAATTATTACATCAGCCAATGAAATTTCAGCATTCAAATTTTTGAAAGTGTGTATTAATCTGACAAAACCAGAGGATCTCAAAAGGTCTTTAAAACAAAAGTAGAATGGGGTGCTTTCAGATCATTGTAAGCAGCGATTGTATACATGATCAGATTGTATTAATATGAGTTGTTTGTTCTATTTAACGGAAAAGAAAGGATATTTAGTGTATCAGTTCGAGACGCAGAATCACTACGAGTACATGAAAACCCAGAATAGCAAAGTAACAGCGCATTTCCCATCTCAAAGTCACAGTGAGACCGTCAGCACGGAGCAAAAACTCTCATTTCACTTTCATGTGAACGACGACCCCTAGCAACCGTTTGAGCGGATTATTTTGCTCGATAGCGATTAGGTATATAACCGGATGTGATTTATTAGCATGACAAATGTTTTTGGATTTGTATTTCCAAGACTGTCAATCTAAATATTAAACAGGAAAGGTATAAAGAACGCAATAAAGTTGTCGAGTACTTTAAAGTAAAGTAACGATGTACACATCTTGTCCATTCACAACATGCCTTGTCCGTAGTATGTAATAAAAGTATAGTAATATTAAATGAACTGAATTATACCGAATTATAAGCCTGGAGTTTTCTTATATTGTATTCTTTATACAATGTACCTGACTAGTCTATAATACTCTGTAATAACAAATCAGCAATAGCCTGAAAGTCTTTATTTCATTAGCCCCAAGTATTGATTAGATAGAACAATTTGGTCAGCACTGGAATCTCCCATCCGGCTATAAAACCCATGGCAAAGATGGGCGACCGTTTGGATGTATAAGATGTATAAATACACGGATACATCATGTCGGAATGGTGACATTGAATCCGGTGCCTCGTGTAGAGAACATACCAAGCACTCTGCACATTGAAGAATCCTTAACGTAACTCTTTTGGGGTCACATTGTAAGTAAAATATCTGCTCCTATCAACAATCATGTACCTATATTTTTCAGTGACAACCAAAAATTCCCGCCGTTCTTCTCGGTTAACCCATTGCCATTATGCAGAACCTACCTTTGTATTACTTGTTATAATTTTTCTCTCGCTTAAAATGCATGAAATGTTTGCCACTGGACGTTAATCAAGCAAATTCTGAATCATATATGTCTACCTGTAAATGTATGTTAAGGTCATATGAAACTTTAAAATTTGAAAAAAAGTTGGATATGTTTTATATACTTGAATGGCTAAGTTTTACTATAAAACAAGTGTACGTAAAAATTCCTTTATATTGTCAAAATCTTCATAAATGTACTGATATTGAATTATTGTCTTCCCATACACTAATTCACCGATATTTTCCCGTATGCAGTGACCTTAACTACGACCTCTCGTTAGAACTTCGACCACCGCACAGCACAAGTAAATGAACACATGAAAGAATGTAAACACTCGTGCACTGGTAAATAGTAATAATTGATTCTTAAAGAACAAATTTAATACAACAAATATTTTAACAACTGTTAAGGAAAAGTGTAGTTAACAAATGCATGGGAACGCATAGAAAATATATATTTTTTATCATATCTCTATTAGATCACTTATTTGTCACGTGATCTACGTGCTCTGTGTTGGTTGTTTATCAATGTCATGATACGGTAAACTTAGGCAACAAACTCGAAAGTTAATAAGCATGCGATCAACAATCACTGAATGAAATATTATTTGTCGATGATACGTTATAGATTTGTAATAAATATAAAACAAAACGTGCATACAGGACTTAGTTTAGTATATATGCATGTATTGGTTAAATAATTTCGATAACAGTAAAATTACAAGAAACTCGTTTCATATGACACTAAATAACTTCTATTCGACAATGTGAACCGAACAAATGCTGGCCGGTTCACCGTTAATACTTATAAAAATAAGAAGATGTGGCATGATTGCCAATGGGACAACTATTCACCAGAGTTCAAATGAAGTGAATAAAAGCAACTATAGGCCATCGTCCGGCCTTCAACAATGAGAAAAACTCATACCGTTTAGTCGGCTATAAAAGGCCCTTACATGACAATTGTAAAACAATTCAAAAACTAACGGCCTGCTTTATAACAAAACAATTTATGAAAAAAACTAATATGACAGACATGAACCAACGACAACCACTGAACTACAGGCTACTGACTTGGGACAGACAAATAAAGAATGTTGCGGGGTAAAACATGTTTGTGAGCGCTCAACCCTCCCCTCACCATGAACAGTGGT